ATTTTTATAGAGGCGATCAACCCAACCGAGGAGGAGAACGAAAGAAAGAATTTGTTCCAAAGAACAGGGACGAGAATCTTGAAAAAAAACCAGCACGCAGCCCGTATTGCATTATCTGCAAGAAGTCCAATCATGATTCGAAGGACTGCTTTCATAAGTGCAGGAGGTGTCGAATTCCTAATCACTCACAACGGGACTGTTGGTATCAAAAGAAGGGGCAAACTGAAGCAAATTTCTTGAAGGAGCAGAATGCCGAATCTGAGACATTATTTTACACGAGCGAAAAAGATGAAGATCAGAAATCCGACCTATGGTATCTGGACAGTGGCTGTAGTAGCCACATGACAAGTAATGAAAGCCAATTTGAGCAACTTAACAGGAGCTGTACTTCACACGTAAAGCTTGGAGATGGAAATGTTCAAAGCGCTGAAGGAAAGGGCACGATTGCAGTCTTTACCAAAGGAGGTAACAAAAAATTAATTCATGACGTTCTTTATGTGCCTAATCTAGCGCAAAACCTCTTGAGTGTGGGGCAGCTTATACAAAGTGGTTATTTGGTCATTTTTGGTGATGGAATGGCAAGAATTTTCACGAAGAATAATGACTTGGTGGCTGAAGTTGAGATGTCTGCAAACAAAGTTTTTCCGATGACTATGCCTTCAAGCAATCAGTTTGCTTTGAAGAATGAAGTCGTTGAAAATTCATTCTTGTGGCATTTAAGATATGGTCACTTACATATGGCAGGGCTGCGCATTTTGAAGCAAAGAAAAATGGTTCTGGGATTACCGGATGTTCATCATGAAGAAAAAATATGTGAAGGTTGTATCTATGGGAAAATGCATCGATTGCCATTTCCCAAAACGTCATGGAGAGCCAAAGCACCACTTGAGCTGGTACACTCGGATATATGCGGTCCTATGAAGACACCATCGATCAACGAGAAGAGATATTTTATCTTGTTTGTCGATGATTTCACGAGGATGATGTGGGTATATTTTTTGAAAGAAAAATCAGAGGCATTCAAATCTTTTTTGAAGTTCAAAGCTATGGCAGAGAATCAAAGTTGCTGCCAAATAAAAACACTCCGAACTGACAATGGAGGAGAGTTTATATCTACTCCATTCCTACAACATTGCAAGGAACATGGCATCTCGAGACAGCTTACTGTGAGTTATACCCCACAACAAAATGGGGCCGCTGAAAGAAAAAATCGCACTGTGGTTGAGATGGCTCGGAGCATGTTGACAGGGAAAGGACTTCCAAATAATTTTTGGGCTGAAGCAGTTAATACTGTTGTTTATCTGCTAAACAGATCACCCACCAAAGCTGTGCCAAACAAGACTCCGTTCGAGGCGTGGAATAAGAGAAAGCCGGTGGTCGATCATTTGAAGATATTTGGAAGCATAGCCTTTGCTCATGTACCAGCTCAGAAACGTGAGAAGTTCGACAAGAAGGGTGAGAAATATATTTTCATTGGTTACAGTGATGAAAGCAAGGGGTACAGACTTTTCGATCCAAAGGAAAATCGGCTGACTGTTTCTAGAGATGTCATATTCGATGAAAGTGGAGCATGGGATTGGAAGATCAAGAATGATTCAGATTATGAACAGCCATCAAATCAGCCTGGCCAGTTTACAGAACCATTGCGATTACAGAATGAGCGCACAACTCAGTGCGAGAATGCTCCTGCCAGTCCAACTTCGGCTCAACCAAATCCAAATGATGAAGAACCGGATTCAGAAAATCCAATTCTGAAGGTATGACCTTTGCAGGACATATACTCCTCATGCAATTTTGCATTTTTCTGTCATGAACCACAGAACTTTCAAGAAGCTGCAAAAGAAAAATTCTGGGTACAAGCAATGAACGAAGAAATTGATATGATTAAAAAGAACCGAACGTGGGAACTTGTCAATTTACCGGAAGGGAAGGATGTTGTTGGGCTGAAGTGGATCTACAAAACAAAGTTTAATGAGGATGGTTCAGTGCAGAAACATAAGGCACGTCTTGTTGCCAAAGGGTACTCGCAACAGCCCGGCGTCGACTTCAATGAAACATTTGCTCCGGTGGCGAGAATGGAGACCATTCGCACTGTTATAGCAATTGCAGCCCATTATGGATTGAAAATCTATCAATTTGATGTGAAGTCCGCTTTCTTAAATGGAGAATTGGAGGAAGAGGTTTATGTAGAGCAGCCTGAAGGATTTGTCGTGAAAAAGAGCGAGGAGAAAGTCTACCGACTTCGAAAGGCTTTATATGGGCTAAAGCAAGCTCCGCGAGCCTGGAACAACAAAATTGACAGCTACTTTGCAAGCTGCAGTTTTCAGAAAAGTCCAAATGAGCCCTCACTATACATCAAGAAAGAAGGGGGTGATTTTCTTTTCGTTTGTTTATATGTTGATGATTTGATTTATTACGGAACTAACGAATCATTGCTGGAGAGTTTTAGGCAGAAGATGAAGATGGAATTTGAGATGACGGATTTGGGGACAATGAAGTATTTTTTGGGAATGCAAGTAAGGCAAAGCGAAGGAAAAATTTTTCTATCACAAGAAAAATACGTTGATGATATTTTGAAGAGATTCCACATGGCTACTTGCAAACCCATGTCCACGCCTATGGCAACAAATGAAAAACTCCAGCAGTTAAATGACTCGGAAAATGTGGATGTTTCTCTCTTTCGAAGTTTAGTGGGATCTCTCATTTATTTAACTCACACGAGGCCAGACATTGCTTTTTCAGTTAGTGTGGTGTCCAGGTACATGAATGATCCAAGAAAAAATCACTTTGCAGCAGCAAAAAGAATTCTGCGTTATCTTCAAGGAACCAGGAAGCTCGGAATTCTATATGGAAAAGAAAACGATTGCAATTTGGTTGGCTATGTTGATAGCGATTGGGCTGGCTCGATTGATGATAGAAAGAGTACCACAGGATATATATTTTGTCTTGGGAAATCACCAATATCTTGGTGTTCAAGGAAGCAAAGAACAGTAGCACTATCATCTACCGAAGCCGAGTACTCTGCTATTACTGAAGCGGCTTGTGAAGGAGTGTGGCTTAGGAGAATGCTGGAAGATTTGCAATTTAAGCAAAAAGGTGCAACGACAATCTTCTGTGACAACAAGTCGGCTATTTCACTAACAAAGAATCCCGTGTTTCATGCTCGCTCAAAACACATTGAACTACGTCATCACTTCATTCGAGACCTTGTGGCGAAAGGGGAAACAAACATTGAATTCATCAATTCAAGTGAGCAACCGGCTGATATTCTCACCAAACCCCTTGGTGCGGAGAAGATGGAGAAGCACAAACAACATTTGAAAATTACAAATTAAGAGACGGTGTTGAAACAATAATTTGTAACTTTCAGGATAGTTAATATGAACTTTAAGTTCTAGTAATTGCCAATAATTATACCCTGAAGTAATGGCACGAAGACCAAGAGTCCTATGGAGTTGTCTAGAAAGTCTCTTGGTTATACATATGGATGTAATCCTTACTTCATGGTGAGTGAAAAAAGAACTTATCCAAAAACAGCACGTAATATTTTCTTCTGCAAGTTCTTCTACTATCTATCATACCCAACAGTATGCACCATGAAATGGTGGCCAATCAGATATGGGCGCCAATGTTGTATGGAAAGCACTAAACTCATCAATTCTCGTTCATAGGCTGATTTCCCTCGAGCTCTATCTCCCAGCACCTTACTGAAATAAGCTATAGGCCTATGCTCTTGCATAAGTACCGCACCTATGCCGGAGCCAGAGGCATCACACTCTACGATGAATGATTTATTAAAATCCGGCATTGCAAGCACAGGGGCTGTGATAAGGCCTGCTTTAATTTATCGAAGGCAGCCTGTGCTGATGGTGGCCACGAAAACTTCCTTTCTACAGCTTCCTTACGCAGGAGATCAGTCAATGGGTGAGCGATGCTACCATAGTGTTGCACAAATCGTCGATAATATCCAGACAACCCTAGAAAACCACGAACGGCCTTAGTCGAATGCGGAATTTCCCAGTCCCGAACAGCCTGTATCTTAGCCGGGTCCATGGAGACTCCATTGGAAGAGATAATATGCCCCAAATATTCCACCTTTAGGCTGCCAAATGTGCACTTCTTGCGATTTGCCACAAAACAACTCTCTTGCGGTAACTGAAGTGTTTTATTTAAGTGCTCCAAGTGCTTCTCTAAACCTGGGCAATAGATTAGTATGTCATCAAAGAATACCAAAATATATTTACACAAATAAGGTGGAAAGAGATCGTTCATGGTTGCCTGGAAGGTGGCAGGAGCATTGGTCAGTCCAAATGGCATGACTAAGAATTCATAATGCCCGCGCAGTTTTATGCACATCCTCCGGGGCCACTCAAATTTGGTGATAGCCTGAGCGAAGATCAATTTTAGAAAATATTGTTGCACCGGAAAGCTCATCTAAAATCTCCTGAATCACCGGGATTGGGTATTTGTCAGCAACGGTGGATTTGTTGAGCTCTCGGTAGTCAACACAAAACCTCCAACTCCCATCTTTCTTTTTGACCAGTAAAACGGGGCTTGAAAAAGGGCTAGTGCTGGGACAGATGATTCCTGCAACAAGCATATCGTGTACCAAACGTTCAATCTCATCTTTTTGGATCTGTCCGTACCTGTAGGGGCGTACAGATGCCAGCACTGCTCCAGGTTTCAATGGAATGCGGTGGTCGCTATGACGAGTCGGTGGCAACTCATTCGGTTCTGCAAACACCTCAGGAATTCCTCAAGAATCTGCACAATTTCCGGCAGCATTGCAGGCCCGTTCTCAGGGCTGTTGTGGTAATTCTCAATGTCTGAACGTAAAAGTAAGGCGCTGAATTCCACCTCTGTAATATCCAGCAAGTTCTGAATAGTTTCTAGGCCCCGATACAGCCTGGATCGCTGCGCAAGGTCACCTGCTGCCCCGCCGAGTATAACTGCATCTCCAAGGCTTCCCAATCCATCTGAATTTTTCCTAATGTCCTGAGTCATGCGACACCCAATATTATATCCACCCCACCAAGAGGAAATACGTGATAGTCTGCCTGCACTTCTGCTCCATCGATCTGTATACTCAATTTCGAGCATACTCCCGTACTTGCAACCTTGCGACCATCGCCTAGTACCACGTTGAATTCCTGTGTGGTGTCTACGTTCAATTTGGCATGTAGAACCAATTTTTGGGAAATAAAATTATGGCTTGCACCGCTGTCGATTAGTACCGTTACGCTAAATCCAAAAAGACTACCACAGAGACGCACGGTTCGGGGTCCCGAAAATCCAACCAAGGCATATAAAGGAAGGGCCCCCTGTGTTGTTTCCTCCTCGGGTGGTTGGTCACTTTCCATGGTAGGTTCTGCCTCCTCAGTAAATTCGCCCTCTCTCATCTCTCTTAACTCCGCAACCCAGTTGCCTAAATCATCCTTCACCACAACATTAAGATATTTACTTTCGCATTTATGGAGTGGACAATAGGGTTGTTTGCACTTGTAACAAAGCCGTTTCTCTTGACACTCACGATACTCGTCGCGACTTAATTTTCTTGTGCTACCCCTTGAGGTAGGGGCTGAAGTGACTGATCGTTGCCCCCCCCCCCCCCACAATATTGCTGCTAGTCGAATGGCGGTTCTCTACTCCTCCAGCTGTGTGTGAGGAGATAGTGCTTCCAGCTCACCCAACCAGGTTATTTCGTAGTGTCGAAGAGGTTTTTCGCAGGTAAAATTCTGCCGCAGATCCATTTTTCAACTCCCATTCAATGCTTCTGCTTACGCGGATTGCAGATTCGAAATCCGGAGGCTCCACTACCCTTAACTTATATCTGATAATTTGTTTCAAGCCCCCTATATAATATCCTAAGGCTTGCGCATCTGTCAATGGTTGAGCTTGAGTAGCAAGTTGAGTGAATAAATTGACATATTCATCAACCGAGCCGGTTTGTCTTAACGTCACCATCCTCTCATACGGATTCCCCATGAATTGATCATCAAACCTAGTGACCAATGCTTGTGAGAATTCAATCCAGGAGGCAGAAGCATGCTTCATCATATGCCAACGGGACCAATGCAGCGCCACATCTTCCATCGCGACTCGCGCAAGACTCACCTTAATCTCCTCGGGAACTCCGTGCAATACGAAGTGTTGTTCGGCCCTAGCAACCCATCCCAAAGGACTTATCTAACCCTGCAGACACAGAACAGAAAGTACACAGACTCACAGTCTCTTTCTCTGTCTATATATCGATCTTCTCCTCACTTGAGTTTCATATATAACTGGGCTGCTCGCTTTTCTTAATTCCGCCGCAGAATGAAGTTGTCGCAGATTCAACGCGATTCCACCACTGCATCTCCTTCTAATGCAGGTGATTCCCTGGGGGATGCTCAGAAATCTACCACACATGATCCCAAATCTGAATCTGAATCTGGAGGACCAAATCAAACATTAGCCCAACTTAAGAGGGAAATCATCTCCTCAAGATCCAAAATCAAAATCAAACTCAAACTTCCCTCCATGAACAACGCCAAATCAGATCTCCTCTCAAACCCTAATCAGATCTCTCCCAATATCCCAAATGAAGCCGAGCCCAAAGCCTCCACCGAAACTACTGGCCAAGACTTCAAGACATGGAATCTGAGGCCCAGGGAACTGATCCGAAAGAATGGCACCATTGAAGCTCCAGTGAAGAAATACGGCGACAATTCTGGGAAGAGGAAGCTGAGCATTATGGTCGGTCTCAGCAAGCAGGAGGTGAGAGACGATATTGTTTCCATGACAGGAGGGAGGCTGCCACTGCAATCCAAGCAAAGGCCAAAGCATTTTAATAAACACATGGACGTAAGAACCCTACATATCCAGATTGTTCTGTTCAATATTATATTTAGTCTAATTTTGTTTTGGATCTGATCATTTCATATTATATTTGCGATTGATTTCATGGATGTTTCGTATTACTTTCACTTGCAGAATATATTTCCTGGAGAATGTTTGGCCAATATTTCTGTCGACAAATACAAGGTTATTCACAACTCATAATTATTCCTCTCTTCAATATCAAATATCCATATAAATATATATATATATATTATTAATTTCCTTTGATAGGTTTCTGACCACTTTGTATGATAATTATATTTGCAGGTTTAGGTTTTATATATGACTTCTTTTTACCTCTAGCTGAGTATGTATTTTTATAATAATTTTGTCTTCACTGCAATTTATCATCATCGATGATTTTTTGGTCATTTAAAAGAAAGATTGTTTCTACCATTGTCTTGCTGCTACTTTTCGATTATATTTTGGGTAAACTAGGGACAAACCTATAACCTGGAAACTAAATCTTACAAGACAAGTCACTCTAGGCATACACGTTATATGTGAAAGACAAAAGTCAAGAAGTCAAGAGATTTTTTATTTTTCATACTCTGATTAATGTGATTTGATGTAAATGGAAGTTCTATTTGTTTGCATCATATTCAACTGGCATTTTATCAAAAAATTGTTATATTTCAAAATGATTTTAATGCCAAAACGCAATGAAACATCTAAGGACACATGTGATCGCGGTAAAGTAAAGTAATTGTCAAGAATTTATGATGTCATATGATGCCGAAACACAAATTTGTGTATTTTATGTACACGTTGAAGATTTGAACATATGTAATTTAGTTATTATACCATTATTTATGAGTTTTCCGTTATACTTTTATGCATAACTTATCAAAAGATGTTTCTATTTTGTCTTGTACGCGTTGACTTCAATATTTTAAATTCAATAAAATTGTTATTATATTTTCATATTTTATGTCTAACAGGTAATCTTTATTTTGTTATAGTATATGTTAGTACCACGTGCATTTTGGCTTGATTTTTTTCATCGAATGTTTTCACGAGGTATAAACAACAAATACAAATATAGTAATACAAATAAATATTTTCTGTGGCAAAATCAATAATGAAAAATAAAAGATAGAACAATGGTATCTTCTACATGTCATTTCACAACTAGGTCGGCTTGTGCTACCATAAGGCAGCCAACGCCATAAGCCATTTATACAAAAGAATCTGGTCTCACTTAATTACTCCTAAGATTTCTATATTTTTGTGGCGTCTTCTCTTTTCTCGGATTCCTCTTGACTCTATCCTTCCAAAAAGGGGACTTTCCTCGGCTTCCAAGTGTCAATGTTGTAGGGGTGTACAGTCAATGGAGAACCTATTCTTGACCGGCGAGCAAGCTACTCAGATTTGGAGGTTCTTTTCAAACCTTTTTCATCTTCTTCCCATTAACACACAACACCCACATATCTTCATAAACTATTGGAAACTTTCTTGTGGAAATTCCTTCAACATAAACATATATTTAATTATTGATTTGTTAATCTTTTGGTTCATTTGGACGGAGGGAAACAATCCAAAGAGTAGGAATACTTTTTGGAGATAAAATACAAAAACAAATTAAATGGAAAAAACAATCAAATTAGTCCCATTGAATTTAAAATCAATCGAACTGAGCAGCTTAATGAGCATCACTGGGAAGGCGACTTGGCCATTGCTGCTGTCCTAGGAATTTAACTCAAACCTAAATCCCTGAGGCCATCTCAAACGGTTATTTGGACTGATGGGGCGTCCAAAGGAAATCCGGGGTCTTCTGGAGCTCTCAGGATTTTCAGAAATGCAGATGGACATGCTTTGCTTGCACTTCGGGAATACAACCAGCGGCAGGATTAAAATACTTTTGTGGAGCTTTGGGCTGTACATCGCTGAACATGGTTTTCACCTGTTTGGATCAAGATCGACTAGACTGATTGCTTACAAATTCCATCGTTCCGTGGAGGGCACTGGCAACTTCAGCACCAGATCGAAAAAATGGCAAAAGGGGTATAGTCTACAGCATGTTGTTGTTTCTGTAATTAATTTCATTTTGTTTGAAGTATAGCTACTCTCCCTTCCTCGCACTCCAGCAATGTGTAAATCGTTTTTCATTGGCCCAAGTTATAATATTTTAGTTATTCCTGTAAAAAAAATAGATGGAAGACTATATTGTGGTGTAGATTTGGCTGTAAGTTTGACCAGTGTTATATTTCTTCTTCCGGATTGAGAAGCCTGACCTTGTAGGGGTGAGTAATGGGTGGCGGTTTTGGAAATGATGGGGTAATTCTTCCCCAACAGGAGAGACATATGGTGTAGCTGCCTGCCTGGGACAGACATAGGAGGTGTTACATTTCTAACATATGGAAATCCCCAATAGGATCCTCAGGTGCGAGAGGAGATATGCAAGACTTGCACCTGAATTATGCCGCATGGGCCGGTGGGACTCAAACTCGATACCTATGTTCAGGGCCGTCTCGAACTTTTTCGGGCCCTGAGCAAAAATAAATTTTAGGTCCTAATAGACACACACGACTAAATGTACTTTTAAAATAATATTACTGATATTGATGTCAGCTAGACAAATAGTTGAAGACAGCGGTCATGATGACTGTGTTGACTCAGGAGAATAAAAAATGAAGATCGAACTGACCGCGCTTCATTTGAAGGTTCGAATAGTGAGAAATACTGAGAGAAGGTGAAAGAGAAAGTAGAGAGAGAGAAGTGGGTTTTGATCCGGATGGTTTGGCGCAGCGAGCAAAGACGTGAAAGACTAGAGGTGTGGGCGATGATTGAATTTGAAAAATGTAATGCAATATGATTAGGAAAAAAAAAAAAAAGAAGAAGAAGAAGAGATAAGATTAGATTTTTAAATTTAATTAAGAAGTCCTCTATTATTCAGAGGCCCTAAGCACTTGCTCACCCTTTTTGTCCAGCAGACCTGCATATGTTAGAAGACGGATGACCGTCGTCTCACCTACCTAATATACGGAGTCCCCAACAGAAGTATCTTTATGTTACCTATTTTATTACCTCTTAGATCGTCACAAAAATAAATAAATAAAAACACACATTTTTTTCGCCAAATAAGCTGTACCAATACACATCATAAAAAATTCATTAGTGACCATTTTTTAGTTTTATTACGGAAAATAGAATGTGGTAGTATTTCTCAGGATATTTTTTCTGTGCCCGAAATTCGTATAAGAAACCTATATGAAATTGATTTTCACAAATACGAAAGTATCAATATATGCACTAAGCATCAGACAGCAAAATTGAAATTGAAAACTATCTCGTACTAATATATAAATGACCAAACCAGAACATAACAAGAATATGAGAATGAAAATATTCAGCAATCCACAACAGACATATCAAATATTACAAACAAAAATTCGAAAGCCCAACCTCGCAACGACGTGCATATAAAGACATTCAGCAATCCACAGTGAGTAACAACACTACCCGAAAAAGTGACGTTTGGCATGGAAGAATCCGCGCCAAAACCTTGTTTGGCTCAGTTCTGATCTGTGGCCGAATAATGGTGCATTTTTTGTCATTATATAAAGATAGAGCCAGAAGTTGTGAGAACTGTTCAATTTTAGACACCAAAATGAAATGTAAATTAATTAATAAGTCATTATTTATTTGATAAAATGATAACTAACACATTGGCAATATATTTGACCATAAATGCCTCTTCTGGTTTGAAGTTGAGAACATGGAAAGGGCATATTTTGGAATCAGAGCATGCGAACACCATGAACTGTAATTTCAATCAAATAAATAACTTCAATCGCTGTCAAGATAATATGCTAATTATTCCATAACATGTTTCTTACCTTTGGGCTATGTCCTTTCGCAAGCTATACATACAGTTCTGTATCCTTCCCGTTGTAGTATAGTGGTGAGTATTCCCGCCTGTCACACGGGCGACCCGGGTTCGATCCCTGGCTCGCCCGGGGTTTTCTACCATTCCAAATTACATATGGTGTTCTATTCAAAACAGCCTTCGTAGGAGATATATTTAATAAATACACGGCTGTTGCCACTGCTTCTCCCCAAAAAGAATTCGGAAGTCCTTTAGCTTTTAAAAGACTCCTCGCCATTTCCACCACTATTCTATTTTTTCTTTCAGCAACACCATTTTGTTCCGGTTTATAAGGTGCTGTAAGTTCCCTACGGATGCCATGATTTTCGCAGAAAGAGATAAAATC